CATTTTTGTAGAGATGAATTTTCATATGTATTACTTGCATCTCAGGTAAATAATTTTTAAAAAGTGAATGCCTGTGCATAGGTTGTTGTTGAGTGGGAGTTGTCACATGCACACACACGCGCACACACACGCACACACAGAGTTGTGTGAAAACAGCAGAGGTGATAGATATAGTAGTATTAAGTGACAGCAACATCAGAAAGTATGAAAATCTGAAGAAGGAGGAATTAGAGAGGATGTGGAAAATAAAAGGCAAAGTGGTCTCAGAGATGATGGAAGCATTCAGAACTGTGACTTCTAAGTGGCTTCAACAGATTCCAGGAACAACATCAATCTTCCTGTCCAGAAGGGTGTAATATTAGGAAGAACTAAGGTACTGTGCAGAATTTTCAAACTCTCAGGCTTCTAGTAGAGGGTCTGAGCTTGGAGGAAGACCCATACCACCTACAGATTTAAGTTTCACCCATGTTCTGACAAGGAAATTATGCTTTGTAAGTTTTAAAATTCATACCAAAAATAACTAATGCATAATATGTACTAATATGACGAATGCTACTGCTGTTATTCTTTGGGTGTAGACATGCAAAAATTGGCTATAGACTGTTGTACTTAGGTCAAGTACATCACCATTTTAGCAAGCACTGTTGGGATATTTGTTTTTTATGATAGGGACAGATCTGAGTCAAGATCTGGTTAGATGACACTTTTATTTTCATTCCTTACTTTGAAGCAAAAACCACACTGTTAATCAGAACAGGTATCTGTGAACTGAAAGTTGAAACATACTGGTCTAATCATTGACCAATCATTGACTCCCTCTAATGGTTCGGTTCAAAAACTACAAGTACAAACTGGTCTACTAAACCGATCATATACTGTGTATGTTGCAAGTGGAGCTCCATTGGAGAAAATAGGGTGAGAAAGGAGTGCTGGAAAAATGTCAGTCAGACTTCCGTTTAGAACTAGTGAGGTGAGGATAGAAAAAGGACATCCAAATGTTTGTGTTTATACCTTTGCAGGAAGTGGGGTGAACATCTTTGTGTTCTCTATTGATACAAACATATAAGCCATCCTACTTATATCAGAAAAAAATGTTATTGCAAATTGAAGAACGATACTTTAAAGCCCCTGCTTGTGAAAAACACCTTTTAAATTATTTTTGTGAGTTGTCTTCCAACATGGCTGTTTAGTTATCACAGGAAGTTCTAGATATGCTTTTCTTTTTCATTGGAAGAATTAAAGCAAAGTGTCTTTTTTCTTTTCTTTCAAAGGGATTATAGGTAGAATGGATATTTTAACACCAGGACATGCTTTTTTTCTGCAAGTATATATTTCGTGTAACACAAAGAAAGTGTTTCAATGTTTTAATGATGATAACATTTAGATATCCTTCTACAGCACTTTGAAGTATTCTTTTCATAGAAGCTGGGCAAATGCAAAGTAAACAGGTGCCAAGAGGTAAAGTGCCCAGTGCCTATAAAGAGACAGGTGTGAGGAGGCTTTCAATGATATGACAACAGCAGCACACATGGTAAGGAGCTGCGGGAGATACTAAATGGCTGGGATTTGAGCTGGAGAGACCGGCTGGGCCAGAGGCATAAAGCAAACATCATTAGAAAAGGCAAAGATAAGAAACAAACAGAGCAGCCAAGGCTGATATTAGACAAATACTCTGTAAAAATACAAAAGCTGCATAAAATCAGGCAAGATGGCCTCCCTAGAGCAGGGAGTCACAGAATTGAGGCAAAAAAAGAAGAAGCAAAAAACAAAAAAAATCAAACCACAAGATATGCTTGACAGAACCCTGCTACCACCCACTGGTGGGAAGATAAAAAGGGATAAAAATGGTAAGTTCCAAAAAACTAAAAAATTGAGGGTCCTTTAGAAGCCAAATTGTGTCAGCCATCAGATTGGCATTGTGATACAAAATTATGCTTCTAAATTTGAATGGGACATTCTTGTAAAAAAAAATTCCAGAAAGATGTGAGAATAGCATAGAACAAAAGGGGACCAATAATAAATCACACTCATTATGTTACTATTACATTTCTTACTAGGTATACAAAATAAGATAGTGTCAGACTTCTGTTTACAGGAGGTGAGCGAAAGCAATAAAATAGCACACTGATGCTAAATCAAATCTAGGTTTCGATCTGGATCTCTGATTAACAGAACAAGATTCACTTTTAAATCATAGTATTTGGTCAGTTGTCTAGTTGGGAAACAAATGTGCACAAGGTAATGTCCCAACAAGAAAATGAAACCTTACCTTGAGGAGAACACATGGGAGGTATATTTCCAAATGCATTATCATTCTTGTGAGCCATAGGATAAAGTGGATTATTTTGTTTCCCAACTATGTATTTCAACCAGATATCAAATAAGGCAAGAGCATTTTTACAGAGAAAGCCTAACATACCTTTGATTTCAGTGTTGGTGTTGTGTAGAGATATAGATTCAATCCTTATCTGAAATGGAATTCTAAGTTTTATAATTTTCATTCTTATTTTCCTGCCCTCTTCAGATCACTTCTTGCTTTCTTACACACATATACACCCCACTCCACTGTTTGTGAGATATATATTGCAGGTAATCTTCAGTGAGACTCTTCTGGTTACAGATAATCAACCAAACAGTATTTAGAATTTATCTGAACCTCACGCTACAGCCATGCACCATCAATGCCACAGAAAGTGAAGAGTTGCAGTGCAGTGCAGGAGAACAAATGCTATTGGGTTTGCAAAGCAATTAGGGAAAGCATTTTATTAGGTTGCAACTTGTTTTACTATTTTCAAACCAATGATACCATGCAGATTCCCTGAAGCTATTGCGAAGTTCTGCACAGCTGCCCCAAGGAAACATGGAGTCCCCATAATTTTGAAGTGTTTAGTGGTGATGATTGAAGGCTATTGACAAATTCTTTAGCTGTCTGAAATTTGGGTCACCTGGTCCAAGGAATAGAAAAGCAAAGTCAAGTGAAAGCTTTTTCTTTCTTTCTTTTTAAAAAATACTTTTTTAAAAAACAGAAACAGAAAATTAAAAAGATAAACAGACAAGAAAAAAGGTTTAAGAAAAAGAAAAAAAGAAGTGCAAAAGGAAAAAACTAAAATGATTTCTGATTTTCTTTGATATATAGATGAATTAAAAATACATAATACTCTTACTCTATGGCTAACCTTTGTCTATATTATTTCTATAATCTCATATAAATATAAACAAAAATTTGTCATAGGCATGCCAGTATGAGAACTCACTCTTACCCTTTCTGTCAGTTGGTGTGGTCTTTTTCAGCCCCAAGAAAGAAGTTTTCTCTACTGCTAAATTCCTTTGCTAGTCAAGTGATGTGTCAGCAATATCTAACCTAATGTGGTTGCAGACATTTATGACAAAAATGCCCTTTATAACAAAAATAAAAAAGGCCTTCCTTTCTAAATTTGGGGAACAGAGGCATTGAGGAGGAACAACTGCATAATTACAATTGGATAACTAAGTGGAGAGAGGATCTTGAAAAATAAACAGTATCCAAAATTGGAAGAAAAAGTCTAATTCATTGAGTTTCCAAGAACTGTAACATTTCTAAGGTGGGGAGATTGTTTCCCATCTCTCGCTTTTGCCTTGTTGTCTTGGCCAGCTCTTTTGTTTATACGGCCCCCATTCGACCTTTTAAATTGCTGTTAATGTTTTAGCCTAACGAATTAGTCTCTCATCACGAATCAGGGCTCGAAATAAAAAAAAAATCCTCTGAGGCCAACATCCTGAAATTGGGGTCATTCTCATTTGCAAGGCAGAGAATCTGAGAACCTTAATGCAAGGAAATTTATTCAAAGGCAGAGCCCCAACGTGATTAGGCCCTTTGTAATTATAGCTTGGAGAGATTCCACTCCAGCCTCCTGCCTCCCTCATGGATTAGCAAGTGAGTCGGAAAAATACACAGGATTTAATTAGAGGCAAATTAAAATTGGTAATGAAATAGGGGCAGTAGCAAATGGCAGGGAGCGGCAGGAGGGGGAGAGAAGGAGCTAGTAGCTCTCAGGGCAACACTGCCTGTGTACGTGCATTTTCTTTATTTTTACATTTAGAAATGTAAAGATGGGAGAATAAAGAGGAGGGACGTGCTGTGAAAAAGGAGGGAGAATCAGGGTTTCAGAAAGAAGATGACAATAGAAATTCATTGCAATATGTGGGCTTACTTTTCCTCTCCCTCTTTTTCCCCTAATTTAGCCAGTAGTAAGGAAATATGTAGGGTGGTTTGTGGAAACCCAGTGAATATTGTTGATTGATAAGGAAAGAAAAACAATAACAATAATTAAAAAAAATCCATTAAAAATTAGATTGCAACACCTGGTTGTTATATGGAAGTTTTATTACTAGATGTTTTAGAATTTAAGAAAGAGTGGTTTGATGAAGTCCACTAACTTTCAGGAAAACTGGATTGAATTTGTCATTCAGTAATCCCTTCCTTTCGTATCTCTAAGTAATAGTCTTTTTCAAGTGACTGTGGGCACTTAATCTCATTACAGTGATGTCTCGTGGAACAAATGGTCATATTTTTTTTCCTGTTGCTGACATTCTATTTCCTGCAGCTCAGAACTCATAACTATTGAATTTCTTCAAGATAGTCCATGTGTATGTCTGTGTTATGACATGTGTTAACTCAGACTGTTAATGTTTAGGAGCAAAGATTTCATACAGATCAAGAGGTATAAAGAAGCAATATTATAGGACAATTGAATAGAGAGAATTCAACAAAACCCCATCTGCTACAATAATTACTATATGTTGTTTTCAGCATGAGATAAACTGAAACCAGTCCTTCCTTAGAACATGTTATATAGAGTTGTAAAGAATATAGATATCATTTTGCTGATGACAGCTCTGTAGGAGGCTATGTTTGGTTAACAGAAAAATTGATTGCAAAATTTTATTGGAGAGGAACTGTTAAATAGAAGATCTTAATCTATTTTGGTAATATTCTGTTTTTCTCTCTACCCTGCTTGTAGAATGCTGTACGCCACAACCTGAGCCTGCATAAGTGCTTTGTGCGAGTGGAAAATGTCAAGGGAGCAGTGTGGACAGTAGATGAACATGAGTACCAAAAGAGAAGGCCACCAAAGATGACCGGGTATGTCTGATTGCTTGTCGGTAGTGTTGTGGTTCAATCTGAGAACTATTTTGAAAAAGTAAAGGTAGTCTTGAGTATTATAACACTTGGTGGCTAAATAAATGCAACACACAAAACACAAGTGGTTTGCTATATTGTTTTCTGGCATTTAGTCCTAAAACTGGTCTATACTCATGTTATTTTCTGGAGATTTCAGATTTGTATATTACCCTGCTTAGTTTCTGAGCATAGACAAGATAAGGCAATGATGCCAAATGCTGAGATATGAGAATAGTTGGGAGCATGAAAACTCCAGAGTACATGCAGGTGGGAAGTGCATAGGAACTCTGGAATAGGAGCATTGGATCTCACACCAATATATATCTGTCACAACTATTAGTCATTCATAGCCTCCATGAATGCTTCTAAAAAATATCTAGGCTTATGGCCACCACTGATATATTATAAGCTGTATATACATAAGCTAGTTGTATATTTTGGAAATGAGTATTTAACCCCAATATAATTCCCACCAAATGGCCAAGGGAAAAGAGGTGACTGAGAGACTTTGTAAGGTTATTACATTCTTGGGGGTCTTCATTTAGGCTTTTTTAGAACCATATTTGAACTTTTGCTTTAATAACTAATGCTCATGTTGATATGTCAGCTTGTTTGAGTGAACAGCACACTATTCAATGATTTTATAATCATTTGGCTGTCTTTCACACTCCATGTGTATATAGATGTGCGCAATGTAAATATCCCCTATCAACATCAGACCCTTGTCACTAAATGTTTTAGAAATTGCCTTGCCTCAGTTTATGACAGTTCCCTCAGGAATTGCATAAAGATACCTTATACAAGTATCAAAGAAGAGGAGCTTAGTCAAATAAAAAACAGTCAAAAGAAGACAGGGTGGAAATGAGAAAAGAGAGTGTATCTGGTACATTCAATGTGCATTGATACCAATGTTAGTGGTATAACCATACTATTAATCTTGGTAAGTTTACATGATCAAAAGAATTGTATACTTATCTTCTTGAATATATAGAATTGTGCTGCAAACATTGCCTCAGCATGTAGTAGCATTGGTAAAAATACATAGAAGCATTTCAGCAGAATGAACAGATACAAAGTCCAGATACCAGATAGTAACTGAAAGGTGCTAATGGTATTCCATAAATAAGAAAGAACCACTCGTAACATTCTAATAGTGCTATAACTTCCCATTTTTGTGGACAAAATGTTGTTAAATAATGATAAACCATTTTTTGTTTTGCCATTATCTGTGTTTAAAGGTATATTTATACATAAAAACTGAGCTAATATAAATAATATATATAAGAGAAATATTTTAATTTTATAGTTAAATCACTTTGAAAATCTCTAATAATTAAAAAAATTAAGAAAAATTATCTAAGATTCAGAAACAAAGTAACATTTATCTTTCAATGGTAGCTTTCTACTTACCATATTTTTTGGATTATAAGATGCTCCAAAGTGTAAAACGCACCTAGCTTTTGGGAAAGAAAATAAGAAAAAAAAAATCAGCCTCTGTCTCCCAGCAATTTGCCTTTTTGCAGCAAACAGCATGATCAGCTTCAGCACAGCCTGATTTAGCACAAGCAGCTGATTGTCGGTTGGATCTGCCTCCCAACAATCAGCTGTTTCAGGCTGCAGGGATCACCATCACCTATTGCTGCCTCCACGTGCCCCATTTTCAGCCTCTGCATCCCATTTTTGGCCTCTGCATGCCCTGTTTTTGGCCTCTGCACGTCCCGTTTTCGGCCTGTTCCAGGCAGCGGGGATTGGAACGGGCCAAAAAGGATGCACGGAGGCTGAAACGGGATGTGGAGGCCAAAAATGGGGGGGCACAGAGGTGGCAATAGGCGATGGCAATCCCTACAGCCAGAAAGAGCTGGTTGTCGGAAGGCAGATCCAACTGACAATCAGCTGCTTGTGCTAAATCAGATTGTGCTGAAGCTGACCAGGCTGTTTGCTGCAAGGAGGTAAATTGCTGGGAGGCAGAGGCCGAAGAATGGGGAACAGTGGGTGGGCGGGGCTTCAGCAACATTCGCTGTATAAGACGCACAGATATTTCCACCCACTGGCATGTCTTCATGTGGAGTCACAGAGGTAAGGCCCATACATATTTCCATAGACATATGCAAATATGGGAAGAAATCAAAAATAAACATTACTTAAAAATCTCTGGATGGGTATCCACTATGGAAGCAATGATACACCCCAATACATTAGATTTAGGATGAATGGCCAGATATTATGAAATTTTGGATCCCCAAGGAGCATTAAAGACCAACCAGGAATTAAGAGATCTAGGACAAAATATAGACTGGTGGCCATATCTGCAATTAAAATCAAATTATAAAAAAGACCAAGAGGAATTCGGAATTGAGGTAGAACCAAATCAACTAGATAAATAGTAGATACAGAGGAAAAATTGATGTCAATGATATACAACTATTTATTAGAATATGATTTGGTAGAAGAAATAGTGAAAGGACTGATGATAGCATGGGCCAGGAATTTGGGACATAATATAGAACTGGAGGACTGGGAAAAGATCTGGAAAAAAATTATATGATAACAAAATCAGCGGCATATAATCAATATAAAATGTGCTACCGGTGGTATCTAGCCCCTTCAAGATTGGTTAAAATGTATCCTAATTTAAGCCCAAATTGTTGGAAATGTAAGCAATTGCAGGATACCTTCTTTCACGTATGGTGGTTATGTCCAAAAATGAAGAAATATTGGACCAAAATACGAAAATGGTTAAAGGAAATTATTAAAGTCCAAATAGAATTTAAAGCAGAAATATTTCTCCTGGGAATTATCAAAGGGAATTATACGAAAGAGATAAAATATCTAATCCTGCATATAATAACAACAGCGAGATGAGCACTTACACAATGTTGGAAAGGAGATTCTATGCCAACAGATTGCTTAATTATCCAAAAGATTTTTGATTGTGCAGAAATGGACAAAGTTACATTGGAATTAAAAGAGAAGGAAGACTCAGATTATTATACAGCTTGGGAAAATTGGTATCATTGGATAAATAATAGAAACAAGCAATTAAATAAATAAGGAATGTATAATTTAGAAGGATAGAGATATATAAATAAGAACAATTAGGAGTATAAAATACGCACTGGAATAACAATTGAAATGTAAGCACTGTCAAAATGGATTGTAATATACACAACACTTTCATTTTAAATATTTGTATTTTGTATTTTAATGTTTTAATTTTTTTAATAAAGATTATATAAATAAAGAAAAAAGAAAAAAAAAGAAATTTCCACCCACTTTTTTGGGGAGGGGGAGTGCGTCTTATACAGTGAAAAATATGGTATTTATTATATGATTAATGTTTTTATATTTTAAATCTACACCAATTTACATTACTACCATTCACTATATTTCATATGTATCTTTGCGTATGTGTGTGTACATGCTAAAAACATGCTAACATTCTGTGAAAGACTGCAAGCCTATATAACTGTTATCTGCCTTCTGCCACCAAGGTTGTATATCCAGTAGTATGAGACATCCTTAGATGTTACAAGTAGATGAGAAACATCATCCATAACCCAGGATGAATAGTATTTTTAAAAAGTAATAAAAATGTCCAGAATTGTTCCCATAATGATAATGTCTATGTTGTAAGGAGTAGGGAGAAATTACCTTCACCTGCTTATCCCCCTCTCTTTCCAGGACTCCTTCCTGAATGGTCTTGCAACATGTAAAATAAAACAAGACATACTGTAGTAGGACTTAGAATATATTGAGAGTAAATAACTGCATTATGAAGCTAGGCTAGGAATATCCCAATACTCCTTAAAATGCTAGTTTTGTATTATGGGGGTTGTAAATTATGGGAATTGGGAAGGGCTAAATAATGAGGGAGATGAACAATATGTTCTTTCCATGGCATCTGTTATTTTACTCTTGTTTTTGAATAGGAATGTTAAAAGCTGCATCTTTTGTTTACAGGAGTCCAACTTTAGTGAAAAACATGATTTCTGGCCTTAGTTATGGAGCACTTAATGCCAGCTACCAGGTAAGACTTGTGGAGAAGCACAATTGTTTCCATTACAGCAAGTCCTCTTTCTTAGGAGAATATTGGGTTGGTTGTTCCAAGCCATCAGAGTAAACTCCTGCTCTATTGGAATCTTGTACTGCATTGTAGAAAAACTTCAAAACTCTTTCAACCATCATTGAAGTCATTATTACATTCAGTTTATATTCCAGAACAGAACATTCAATGTAGCATTTTCCCTCAAGATAATCAGAGGAACCAGATCACGATAACCCACACCACTTGGCCATCCTTAGCACTACAATATCCACCTTCTTGCTGTTTCCATTACATTGCAATGTTTGCTAATTTTTAATGTTCTGCTTCACAATATAAGTGCTAACTTTTAACAAGGTGAGAATAAATCATTGACAGCAAATGACAGAATAGATAGTCTCTCTTGGGACTGAATGCTTTGGTCAATGCTCTGCTACCCTTCTCTTCTGATGGGGAATAACAGACTGGAATAAAAAATAGCATTGGGACCCAACATGGACTAGCTGTGTAGATGTTTTAGACCAGGGGTGGGATTCAAATTTTTTTAACAACTGGTTCTGTGTGCGTGGTTTAGTTGGTGGGCATGGCTTGGTGGTCATGAGACTGGGTGGACATGGCTTGGTGGTCATGTTATTGGCTGGGCGTGGCCAACTCAATATCACTCACATCGAGGCACGCATCTCCTCGCCTGGACTCTCATGATTGTGGGGATTCTGCAACAGTCGTAAGTGTGAAAAATGGTCACAAGTCACTTTTTTCAGTGCCATTGTAACTTTGAATGGTCACTCCACACAAGCAAAGTACCAGCAAAGGAGGGAAAAATAACTCCAGAGAAGTTCCTGAGACAGGAAGTCTAGTCCTGCCAAGAATGTAATAAGGGTTAACGGAGAGGCAGTTTCTGTAAGCAACACCAGAATGTTTCCTTCCTGCCTTCCTTACAGGATTAGTCAATAATTTCTTCTAACAACGGGTTCTCCGATCTGCTTAGAATGTTAACAACCGGTTCTAGAGAATAGGTGCGAACTGGTAGAATCCCACCCCTATTTTAGATATATTTTCTGTTAGAGAAAGAGTGATATATCATCTTAGCCAATGACCAAAAAGGTTATCAGCACGCATACTGGTAGAAAGCTTATATTTCTGACATCTACTTGAAACAGACCAAGGTTTTTGCTTCAATATTTTTAAAGGGATAAAACCATAAAGGAATAAAAGCATAAAGGTTAACGGTGGGGCTTTCAAGTCAAGGAGAGAAGCAACCTAGAATTAAGGAGAAATTTCCAAAAAGTGAGAACAATTAACCAGTGGAACAGCTTACCTTCAGAAGTTGTGGGTGCTTCAGCGCTGAAAGTTTAAAGAAGAGACTGGACAGCCACTTGTCTGAAATGTACAGGGTCTCCTGCTTGAACAGGGTTGGACTAGAAAACCTCCAAAATCCCTTCCAGCTCTATTCTATTCTAATTATATTTTAATTATCTATGTTGAACTATTTTTTTCTTGTAAGGCATCCTAATTGATATTACTGAATGAGAAGGTGAAATATAAACATTCTCAATAAAGTCATACATTTTTATTTGTCTAAATCATTCACTTTTTCTGAAAAATAAAGGTACTGTTAGTATAATGGTTTAACCATTTTCTCAGTAAATAAATATCTGGGGTTGTTTTCTAAACATGTCATATCTGATTTCTTTAAGAATTTGTGAATTATACCAGTTGCTGTTTATGTTTAGGCAGCTCTGGCTGAGAGCAACTTTCCTCTTCTGAATAGTCCCACCATGATCAACACAAGCTCAACTAGTGGCATGCTACACATAGGCCATGATGATGTGAGCAGCACTGTAGAACAAGTCAACAGCAATGGCAGCAATAGCCCCCGGCTTTCACCACAGCAGTACAAGTAAGCCCAGAAAAAAATGTGTTTTTATTATTATCATCATCATCCTCAGTGGTAGTAATAGTAGTAGTGTTAGAATTAGAATTCTTTATTGGCCAAGTGTAATTGGACACACAAGGAATTTGTTTGGTGCAAATGCTCTCAGTATACATAAAAGAAAAGATACATTTGTCAAGAGTCAAGAATCATAAAGTACAACAGTTAATAATATTCACAGGATACAATAAGCAATCAAATCATACTAGGAAATAGTCAATATAAATCGTAAGGATACAAGCGACAAAGTTACAGTCATACAGTCACAAGTGGGAGGGGATGGGTGATAAGGAGTGATGAGAAGATTAATAGTAATAATACTGCAGACTTAATAAATAGTTGGACAGTATTGAGGGAATTATTTGTTTAGCAGAGTGATGGCGTTCAGGGAAAAAACTGTTCTTGTGTCTAGTTGTTCTGGTGTGCAGTGCTCTATAGCGTCGTTTTGAGGGAAGGAGTTGAAACAGTTTATGTTCGGGATGGGAGGGGTCTGTAAATACTTTCACAGCCCTCTTTTTGATCGTGCAGTATACAGGTCCTCGATTGAAGGCAGGTTGGTAGTAATTGTTTTTTCTGCAGTCCTAATTATCCTCTGAAATATGTGTCTGTCCTGTTGGGTTGCATTAGTATTATTAGTATTATTATTGCTTTATACTGATGAAAATAAATGAAGTTTTTTGGAAGTGCTAATACAATGCTATTTTCAGAAGCAGGATTACTAGATCCAGAAGTCTTTAAATATCTCTTACAGTTTAGTAGAGAATCAATTTAGGATTTTTCAAGAGTTTATGCAAACTGGAAATAGATCTAGAATTTCTATTGTTAATGATTTCCAAAAATAGTCATATTAGTCTTTTACAGCAAAAAGAAAAAGTATAGAGACAGTGTAAAGACTAAGACATTCATTAACATGTGAGCTTTCATGTATTATGATCCATTTCATCAGTTGTTTATTTTTGTCAATAAGTAGTCATGGCCCTGGACTTTCATTTTCATAGAAGGTTCTTAGAAATACTGAGATAAGCTTTGCAATTCAAAATAGTTATATATAGTTTCACAACAGAGCTGTCCCTCAGCCTACAATCTGTAGGTTTGTTTGTTATTTATGTGTCAGCAACACTATTAAGAGCTCAAGTGAATATTGCCATATTTATTCTTACTAACAAAAGGCAGCTTGAAAAATGTATTTGGATTACTTGTACTAACAAAGAGGTCTAGTTTACAATGTTTAGCAAATATGGAGAAAAGGAATATTTTTCTTAATGTCAAAATTTTAATCATTGAAAAGACTGCTAGGAGACCATAGATTAAAATTGCAATGAAGTACTCTATAGTTGACTTAGCTGAACTGAATGCTACAAGTATTTCTGTTTCATTGAAAATATATAGAGACCTGGGTATTTAGGATCTGGGTGAGAATCAGAAGAGTATTGCTATCTAGCTAAGCAAATACTCAGTTCAACATCTGATCCTCTATTGTGTAGTTCCATCTGAAAACTCTTTTGCCAATCTCTTGTAGACTCTTATTGTATTTTTTCTAATTCTACCTGGTTCTCCAAAATTTTGTTCTTCAGCCATCAAGTGCATGTGAAGGAAGAACCAGCTGAGACAGAAGATGACAACAGACCTGTTTCTCTCATGGCAACTACCAATCAGAATGTGACGATTCCCGATGACAGAGACCTAGAGGAGGAACTGCCAGTGGAAGACTTGTCTTAAGGGTCCTTCATCTTCATATAGGGCCCATTTTTTCCCAGAGACAAAGCAATGGCTCTCACCTATTCAAGGTGACCTTCAGCATTACTTAGTTAAGGCACTTCTACAAAGCAAAAGGCTTTTCATGAGCCTACCCACTGCTGAAGACACACACCTTTCCCCCCCTTTTTACATCCAAATGACTCTTAAAAGACATTCACAGAGAGGATGTGAAAACAAAAACAAAAAACGGAGTTGAGCTTTTTCCTTTTCTTATTTTTTTTTTAAATTTTGTAACTGGTTAAACGAGGATGGTAGGTTGTTTCTGTCCGAAGACTTCTTTGCTGCCTCCCCTCCCCATACCCCCATCTCATGGGGATAAAAAAGAAGCTGTCTTGTATTGTCTGCTCTGTGTTTTGTCATTTTCAACCCATCTGCCTGGTTTCCACAAATCAAGATTTTGGAAGCATCCAGTACATTAAGGGGCAATATCAAAGCCAAAGGCTTCAGTGAATGTCCCTTATTTTCCCATGGAAATTTTCATTAGTTTTGCCAGTAATCCCACTGAGAACTTTGCACTAGGAGGAATCTATTCTCACTTTTTCTTACTTTCACACATGCACTGTCTCCATTTCTCACACACATACATCCTTGCCACTAACACCACTTCAGAGTACTGGAATAGCAATGGAAGCAAGACCTCTGCCAGGGTCGTAATGTTGCAATTTGTGTTGATTTTCTGACTGGGCAAAAAATGAAAAACCGACTTTACTTTATTAAATACATTATAGGATAGCAAGGGGTTACTGCCACACATAAAACCACTTGGTTATTCTTTTTTCCAACCTGTGTTTGCGTCTTTCCAAATTCAAGAAGCATTCTTTTATCACCAGTCATGATTGACAGCCAGTCTTCAACTCACAAAGCTTTATTCTGCACAAAATCCAGGAATGAATGTCCATTCCCTGCCACCACATAATTTTAAATAACTTTCAGAAGTCTATGCTGTATATGGGCAGCCAGCAGTCAAGATAACGGGGCCCAGCTTGAGACAGAATCAGGGAGAGACTTCTGCAAGATGAATCTTTTGCTTGCTTCTATCATCTGCCATCGTGTTTTTTCCATTCCAGCAAATACTGAATCCAGAAAGCATGACTCCTTGATCGTTTATGTGAGCAATGGGAAGGTTTAACTGATGTAAATACAGCTGATTTGGCAAAGCCACCAAAATCTCAAGCACTTGGGATAGGAAAGGGGGGGGGGGTTAAACTGAAATTTATGGCTGTGGAGAACAGACCAAAACGGGGTTGACCAAACAGAATTCAAAGCAATATACCTGTATAAATGTAAGATAAGTAATTCTCCACCTTTTTGACCAACCAGAACAAAGCTACAAATAAGCACTGAGTTTCCTCTGACATTCTCTAGTAGAAATATATCCTATCCTACAACTCTTGTGCTACTCATTAGTTCTTAGCTGTAAGCCAATGTGGGGAAAAAAGATGCTTCAAAACTAATAACAAGAATTAAATGTGTCAGATGAATAGTGTTGACCCAAACTTGATTTTATCAACTCATTGTTTGCTGCCTCACATCAAAATATTTTTTTAAAATCTAAAGAGCATCTCATGTGACAGAAAACATCAGGTTTCCAAAGGTTACTTTGCTATTGCCCCCCATGAAAGGACAACCCAAATGTTCCTCCTTGATTACTGAGACTTTGACAGTTGCTGATTGAGAAACTGGTTTGCTTTCTGTATGATCAGGAATCCAATATCTCAAGGAAGATGGATACTAATGTTTCTAAGGAAGCCTTTCTACAACAGATCAACACATGCTTCCCTTTCCCATCAGGAAATCTCTGAAATTTATTTTCAGGCCAAATTGGGATATTGGAGTTCCTCCCATTATTTTGGAGACAAGCTGATCCAGGCAATTTGATGTTTTCTGAAATGACAGCTGTTCCTCTTCTATACTCTGTAGCCCATGAAGAAAATAAATCATCACAGCTATGTTTGAATAGTCACATTCAACATTGATAGTTGTGTTAAATGACCTCCTCAAACTAAGATGCTCAAGAATACTTTGTCAGCATATTTCTGATTAATTTAGGATTCCTTTCTACGCTTCTGATTTTCATGGTTAAATAATGCTTTTTCATTGCTCCAAACACTATGCAGCTCATGGCAGTTGATAATATGTAACATAAGTGTTTTTGACATAGGAGGGGGGGGAGAAGAGGGATATTGCATTTTCCTTATATGCAGAATTGCTCCATTTGTCTCAAATACAGTACATTCTTAATGCCCTTTTCAGCAGCTGGTCAACTGTGGTAAGAGACTGTCTTTTTTTTTAAATGCTCTTAACTCACAAGATTATGATACATCAAGTAGCACTTGAGCCTTTTTACCTATCAAAAAAGGGGCATTATTCCTGAACTGCCACAAATTTCTGTATATGATTGTTGTCAAATTTCTTAGCCCAAATCAAACTCTTTAAAAAGATGGAGGATTATTCTGAGGATTATTCTTTCCAATAACTCTAAAGCACTGGGTAATCTCTAATTTGCTCAGTTTTTTTAAAATAGATCTATTTCCTGGATAGGGTTATGGCGGGTCATACTAGCATTAAAAAAAGGGAAAGAAATGGTAACTGGCTGATCTTGGCCAGTCTCCATTGCAAAGCCTTGACTTCAAATCTCAGACTTGGTAAAATTTGAAAATGTTTTATCTAATTCTTGGCATTGCCCATCTAACAAACAAGATTATACTTCCTTTCTAAAATTCCCCTTCTCTAAGGTTCTTAATTTACTAAATGGCATGTCAAAATGATCCAAACTGATTTTGAATCTAGGTAAAATCAAGAACACCAAAAATGAAAAAAAAAATATTCTCCATTTCTGAATTATGATTGCAAGAAATTCCACAATCCTTACTTCAGAAAACTTTTCAGGACTTGATTCCTGGAGCCTCTTGTAGGGGGCTGTACCAAACATGCATTTTCTCCTACTTTGTTTCTTACTGTTTCTAACAGGCAAGCAAAATTGTAAAGTTTGTTATTTAGATAAAATGAGCTAATTGCTCTGATTTGAATGGGGCTGTACACTTAAGGGGACCAAGAGGAACAGTCTCTAAGCTGCAGAAAACTGGAGATGATCATGTTTATGGGGTGTGAATCAAAGTACAATTTGAGCCTCTTTAGAGAACCATCAACAAGTGTCTTGCTCTTCAAGGACCACAAAGACAGGCAATATAGGATTGCAGGCACTAAGAATACCTCAACACTTTTATTATCCATCTCGGGTCCCAGCTTTACTCCAGAAGCAGCTCGAGAAAATATATATCTATCCTCCTTTTACTAAGAACACACCACACCTCATTTTCTCTTGGGACCATATTTAAATGTCTCCCTGATGTCCTCTATAGAATGCTTTGCAATTGGCTTAACCATTTACCAAAGACCTTGCTTAGACAAGAAGCATAAACCAAAACACTTAATATTTTTGTTTGTGTGGTGCTTTTATTCTGACTTATTCTAACTTTTGGCATCAGCCAAAAAGGGGGAAAATCACAAAGATCCTGCATCCCTTTAGCCCTTTTGTCACTTTCTTTTGATTTTAAGTTATTATTTAAATCAACGTTTACAGGTGCTGTTTTGTACATTTCTAATGAAGTTGTATTGGGAGCATGGATTGCTGCTTTGTGTTTGAAGTTTCTTGAACCAAGGGTACGCTGTGAAGCCTAGGGTGGTTTGGCATTCCATGGGTCTCTTCTGAACTTACTTCCATCTTGCTGCTGGTGGTTTCTTTTTCTTTTCTTTTTACAGGTCAGAACTGTCTTTATTTCATGTTAACTTTTCAGCTGTTTTTATACACATTGGAGTTTCTCTCTCTTGTTTTTAGCATTTTTTCTTCTTAATTTTCAAAGGGTTAATTGCCCTAACCCCTTCTCCTTCTCTTCCCAAAACTGCTATTTTCTTTGAAGCACTGTTGGGTAACTTATGTTTTTGAAATACAGCAGATTCATTGTAACGTCTCAAACTTTGATCTACAAATTGCACTGTGTGAATTAGAGAATTCTGAACATAAAATAATGTTGCAAAGGTTGCTTAAGTCACACCCTGTAATTGTTTCCCATAAACAAAACCTCCTAGTTTATAGTAAAGTCATGCATCAGAAAAACAAATTATGCATAGTTTATTCTTAAATGTATGCAAGTTTTCATTGATTTTTTTTTAAAAAAACTGGGTTGCATATTAAAAAAGCAGATTTTTGCAGCCTAAAATGGTATATTCTGGAATGTGTAATGTTTAGACCCAACTCTCTGTGAGTGCACTGAAGTGCTTTTTTGAGCTTTGTCTGATTGCATCACAATTTGTAGTACTCCATTGTGTCAAATTGCTTTGCAAACAGTTTTAGAACTAAATGGCTATACTATGCTGTTGTATTTTGTCCTTGGCTCCCTTTTCTGTCAATCCTAGTATTACAGTTGCATTTGATCTTCTCAAAGTTGCTACCATCCTAATTCACTGATCTCAGTTTTTTTTTTTTTTGTCTTGCCTGGTCCTGGTACAATATTAACCGCTTGTTGGACATCTGCAGCTGGACCTGAGATGCCCAGGTTATATGTTTTCTGCCAGTATTAAAGTGATGTTTTCTGGTACTGTATAGTCAAGAGCTAAACTGTAACCATCCTAACATTGAGAAGAGATTCTCTTTAGAAATATAATTGTTTCTGTTCAAACTAAAACTTGCCTTGTTGTTGGGGTTTGTTCATCCTTATCCATTTAAAGAGAGAGGCACAGGAAAAAGAAAGTATGATACACTGGGGTTAATAAGTGAATTACCCATTGTAAATTGAGAGCTAAGTAGTACTCAATTATAGATCTAGGGAGCGCTTCAGATTTCAAGGGGAAAAGGTGCTTTGGTGCATATAGGGAACTAAATGTAGCATCTTGTTAATATAGCAACCGTAAGAAAATATTTTGAGTTTAAGGAGTTCCAGGTAGGCTAAATCCCCACCCTTGCTAGCTCCAAAGCATATTTTTACCTTCAAATCCAAAGCATTGTAAAGCCTAACTTGGCTGTTGTTGCAGTGTTGCGCAGTATGTATTTAGCATATTTTAAAATTAAAAGTTTTCCAATACTATTTCATTTGGGTTAGCAGAATACGGAAAGGTCATCTGGGGCTTAGAACTGAGGAAAAGTTATTGCCAGTCAGAAAGTTAATCTTTAAGCCTTTTCCACTATATACTAGACAGTCATTGGGCAGAATTTCCCTCCCTCCCCAATGCTTAGTCAAGCAATATGCTATTATCACTGTTCTAAAGAAACAGTCCAAGAAACAATTGGACAATTCTTTGGTGGATATCTGTAATTTAGGTTGACTTTCTGAACCTTGAGGCTGCCCTAGAAGCATCCCTGTTGTTACTATACTGGTAGCCTTCCTTTTTTTTTTTTCTCTTGAGAATCTTGACAAAGATGTTTCCCTTTTATCCTATCCATATTTCATATTAGGCATTTACAATCTCTCAGGGGAAATGATTTCAGCCCTTCACTGCTGCATAAAGGCAAACAATGCAGCCTCTAGAATTCCATTTTGCCCAAAATGGAGCAGCTCCAGAATGTATTTTGTGGCTAAAAAAAAATTCTGCCAGTTTCAGCTCTTTCCTGCCTTCGTGTGACAGTATTAATATATGTGTGTATCCTCAGAGGACAGCTTTAGACCTAGCTCTCACAGGATCTGTCTGTGTTTAATTATGTCAGATCAGCCTACAGGAGGGAAGGAAGTCATGTGACTAAATTTTCATCTCACAGAAACTTTCTTCCATGCAGAATTTGAAAAAAAAATGGAAAATTTAACTACATGATCTGCTACTTGAAGCCTGAAGTGGTACAACTCAAAGACAGGTTTATTCATTGAGAATCAAATAATTGTTTAGTGATCATTGAAGGAAAGTGTTTTAGGTCTTGGGTGCTGTGACAATTATTAAATTCCTCAAACGTAGTCCTTTCCTTCCTATGCTTTCCCCATCTCTTTTTGTAATGGATGAACTTTAAAATATTGGGTGTGCTTTCTTCAAATGGCTGCCTTATGTGTTGAAGCAAGGCTTCTGTAACCAACTTGTCAATGTGAGAGGTGGATAGATAACTCTTACTGTTAGATTGGCTTAGAATCTAGGCCTGGTCCTGAAGGGAACCAGCACATATCTAAGAATTGGAAAATAAGAAATTAGACTTTGGAATCATGAACTTATCTTCAGACTTGTGCCTGTGACTTAAAGCGAAATTATCCTGTCACCATAGTTCTTATTTTGTTTGGTGATCCTGGCATTCCCAACAAATATTACTTAGAACTGCAATTTCATTTATTCAATGTTGTCAAACTCTCCCAATAGGGGAAAAATTCAAAACATTTTTTTTACAAACCAACAATGAAATAAATTGAGAAGCAGATCCTAAATCTATTCACTTTCCATTAAAGGCTGTATGCTAATTACACTTGCAATTAACGAGGACTTGCATTATATTTATTTCTCTTGAGAGCTTTGAGAAGCCTACAGGTGTTTGTGTAGTTTATAGGACTTTAAATGTATTTTTCTAATCCTGATATATCTCTTAAAAGTGTACTGAAGAAAGAATGTAATTCAGTATCACTGAATAAATATGCTGTTCCCTAAAGATCTTCAGTTTGGGGTGATTTTGTCCCCCAACACCTTGGAAATTTGAAGTTTCTCCCACATTGAATTGCTGAAACTTTAGTTTCCAACATAGCTGATGCTGTTTTGTTTAAATGTACCGCATTTGACCCTTTTTTCTAATTATGACTAAATATGATTAATTATGAGCATTTGTGTCCTGAATTTGATTGCATAGCATCTATAAAGTGCATTAGTTTATAAAAACCCTTCAATAGAGTAAATCACAAGCAAATGACCAGTTGGTTCTGCCCTGGTTCTTTGGTCAGTATTTGTTCTGTTATAATAGCATAAATACAAGGAAACATAAAAAATAATAAATGGCACCTAAGGAATCCAGGCCAAGGGTGGGTGAGTAAGAATGTTTATTCTGTATTAAAAGCCTATTTAAATTTTAGCAATAAAATCTGTCCTCCTGGCTTCCTTCCTAGCAAAATCAAGCAGTTAAATGAGAAGGATATGCCTATTTGAGTAAGCACATTGAGTAGGTACTAAAGCCATGATTTCATCTGCAAGAGTCTCTTCTAACATTTACAAACTCATTGGTTCTTTACTTAGATTACATTTCTCCTATAAGGGTTTAATGAATTATTTCTAATTCTATTTTTGTGTGTGTGATCAGCAAATTCCGCTCACTTTTTCACTTGAACGATGTCTATACAAATATACATGGAGTCAGTAAGAAATAAACAATGGAATTTATGTAACTGCTTCTACTTTGCCAAATATACCCATGTATTATTGTTCCATAAGTCCTATGGAAGAATATTATTTAAAATTTTGTGTTGGCGGCCTCAAGCTCTTGGGATTTTATTTTCCTCATTCCTGATTCTTGATTGATGAAGCAACCTGCTGGTGTGAGTCTTGAAGAGCCTCCTTTCTTTGGCTACTGATACCAGTGCCACTCTTCCCAGACTCTTGACTACATTAGGTACATCTATTTTTGCACATTTATGTCCACCAAATTATTTCATTCAAAACTGCATATAGTACTTATTTGGGGGATTTCTTTTTTGTCTTTAAAAAAAATATTTTATTTTTTGTTGTTACCTCAAAATGGCTTTTAAAGGGGTAGTGTGGGAAAGACCAAACACAATTTGTGGCAGGATAGTATATGTATATATTGATATATATGCTGGTTGAAAACCTACTAAAATTAGATTATTGTCTGTTTAACTATCCTGTGATGAGACTAATGCAGGGAATACTTAGGAAGGGTTTTTTTTCCTTGTTATGGAATTTAGGAAGCCATTCTTGTATTTCTCTTTGACTTGACTTGGATGCTGTTCCAGTTCCTTATGTTGTTTTTGGCTTGTTTTCTCTCTTAAATTAGTCAGTAGAAATAGTGGGAGGAGATAGATGGTTGCTAAAAAGAAACCGGGATAATGATATAATTTTCTTTCCCTCATTGGTTCCTGAAGTTAGAAAAATAGGAACAGAATAAAAAAAAAAACATCGTATTAAACCAAAGGCGTGCGTATTTCAGTTTTGTATGTTTACATAATTTTAATAGAGTTATTTTTTCAGGGTGAACGACAGAAATCCTACTCTGAAAAAAAAATCCCTAGGATTTTGCCCTGTATTATCCATACTCTGAATTCTTGATTGCCCTGATCCACATAAATGTGGAAATACACCATAATTCGCAGGGGAACGTTTTGTTTGTTTTTTTCAAATTTAGATATATTCCAAAGTGCTGAAGGTTTGTCAGTTTGGAATCCTCTTTTTTTTTTTTTTTATAACCATGTTGTTCTACTATAGCAGTAAGATTTGAAGACCCACTTCTCTGCCCTTCATTTTGATGGGATGCTCTATGAAACGACGTTTCTCTGGGCCCTCCCAAAGAGTTGAGGCTCTGCTTCACTTGGCGTTCTTGTCTTCCAAATCTCTCAACTGAATCTCAGGTGGCAGGAAAACACCCAAGAACCAATGACTGGTGACTCTCGAATTGTATCAGCGTAAACAGTGCAGCATGAGCCAGCGGGTCTCTGATCTCACTGAATGAAAATGGGAGGTTAACATGTCTCCTGAAATGATCTGATTTTCTCATTTGTAATATTTTATGTTGACCCCAAGGGGCTTCTTCTAATTAAATCTTCTCTGTTGCGAATAGGTATCTTCTCCTTCATATTAGTACCCAATGTGTGGTGGGAAGGTGGGGCACACTGACATGTCAGCACTCTGCTGTCATTTCCTTTTCCTGGGACTCAGGAAGATATAAGGAAAGAGGCGAGACATTGCAGTGACCTTTAATATTGTGGGTTTTTTCTTCCTCACATTTGTTGGTTTGATGTGATCATCCTTTTATCAGGTGGCAAGTCAGTGTGAAGTGAAAGATTACTGGGAGGGATGTCTGTAATCCTTTGATCCATCCTCCTCTTACTGCTTCACACTGCCATATTTCCATGCTGTATAAAGGAAATAGCATTGCTGTGTATTTGTATTCTGGACTTCTGTGTGTCTGCTCTGGCAGACGGTAAACCCTTGTACAGTAGATCTAGCTGCATGTAATCTGTATGGACAATGGCATTATAAAATGCAATAAAATTAAATTACCTATAAGATGGCTGTGGCTTCTTAAGAATATAATTCCTCCAGTTTCTCTCTATACCATTGTTCCTTCTGCATACAGTTCTCATGCTTCTTCCAAGTGGTCTTACCTTAGAAAAATGGCTTCACTCAATATTTTAATACTCTGTGTATGTAGCAGCAGACACATTTTTCCACACATAGTATTTTCATGTTGCTTTGTTCTATAAATTGGGTTCTTATTAACTGCTTTGTGGGAGCAATATAACTCTGTTTCCCCTTCTCCCTCCCAACTAATATGTAAAAAAGAGACCAATGATATTGAGCATGATACAGTCATGAAATCACAGATGGAACTATTAAATGACTCATTGCTTTTTAAATGAGTTATATGTTCGGGCAACATCTTGATTCATTTAAGCTAACATTGGTCCAGTTATTATTATTCTTCATACTCAAATCCTACTCATCAGCAACCCAAAGGAACATCTGTCTCCTGTAAAGAACATCTTCCCCTTTTTTCACATGTCCAAGACATCTAACACCAGTCTGGTTATCCTTAATGTAATAGTATTTTAAAATAATCTTTGAGAACCCATTATCTGTACAGCTCCAGGCATCACTTCCAGGTGCAGAACACTTATACAGTAATTAATTTCTAATAATTGATTAAGTTATACACTGACTGCCAGGAATCTACCAAACATCCAAATATCTAGAGCCAGGAATCTGGAGTAGATCAGAACATATTGGGGTTATTTTTAATTTACTTTGGGTGGCATAGACAACTTAAACTGTTCTATCTCTGATTCAAAGAGCTTCTTAGAGCCATGGTGCCCTGTGTGGTGATGCAGTGATTAGAATAACTGACCACTGCCAGCAGTTCAATCCTGACCAGCTCAAGGTTGATTCAGCCTTCCATCCTTCTGAGGTCAGTGAAATGTGGACCCAGTTTGTTGGGAGCAATATGCTGACTACAAACCGCTTAGAGCTGTAAAGCACTGTGAAGCGGTATTTAAGTCTTAAGTACTATTGCTAGTACTATATCCTGATTTTTTCAGGAATGTGTTTAGTTTTCTGCAATGCCTTGAGGAAGAAAGGAGAATATTAGATTTAGTAATTGACATGCACCATCAAATCAGACTGATTGTCATGATAACATTACCATCTTTTTGTCTACTACTACCATCTTGAAGACTAGATAGAGAAAAGGTGTTGGAGAATCCTTCAACTATTTTGTCTCCTGTGTCTGACTTTCCATCTACAAAAGCAAAACTTTTGTAATGATTAACAACCTGACTGATTTAGATACTATGTTAAGTTTATATTCTCCCTACTTTTAATACTTGACAATCAGTTCACTGCATTCATAAAAGAATAAAGGTATTCCTTACCCCGCCACCTCTTATCATCTGCTTGTATTTTTAACACATTTATCCCCTATACCTTATATGTCTTAAACATCTTCACTCAAGATAGAAAAGCATTGGTACTTTGTAAAATATAAAATTAGAATCTAAAGGAATACAGTTTGAAAAAGATGCACAAGTTTCTATAAAATTGACATGCTTTATTTATTCATAGAAATCTAACTTTCCTTCCACATTTTGTTGTGTTCTGGTGAAAAGTCAATTAACAAAATAAATGTTCAGCACTTTAGAAACTGGTCATAAAGACAGTTCACTTTGTGCTAATATTTATGATGAGCATTGGTGAGTATCCTCTATTTACAATGCTTTCCTGCATGCTTCATCCAATTCTGTTTTTTTGGGAGGAATGGGGGGACGGGTTTTTGGGGGGAGGACAAAGTAACAGTTGTTTGGTTTTCTGTGCTAGACAATACATTCAGATGAGTTGGACTGTATTTTCCCTCCAGTTTGACATAGTGTGGATTGGTTTTACGGGGCGAAATACATAACTACACAAATGGAGCACACTGAGATCAAATAACTTATCTTCTGCAGGCAGGAAAACAACCACTATCTGGTTCAATTTCTTAAGGCAAAGGCAAGATTTTTTTTCCAGATTCCTAGTTATTTAAAGTGCTAAACTGTTACTAAAACTCTTATTGGTATTTATTTAGTCCAATTTGAAAATGGGAGCAGTTTCTCTATTCTTTCCACAGGACAAAAAGTGTTGTTTTTGCAAGATCGAAGGAAGTCCCAACTTTTCAAAAAGAATCTATGTTATTCAGGAAAGATCTTGAGATAGTCTGAAAGAGAAGAGTCAAACAAAATATTATCCTTGCTTGCTGGACAATGGGTATCTTCAAGCCTCTTTGTATATATTGAGCAATCAGTGTGTGCATTTTTGACACTCCATGTTGAAAACCATAGTCTCAACCTGTGACTTCGTAAAGAATCATAATGAGTACCCATCATAACAGTTAATGGAAAAATCTTTCCTTAATATGGTATTGCTAGATTGTTCCCAATAACTTCTTGTCCCAAATAGACCAGTACTCTGAATTAAACTCTGTAGCACTTATGAATCTCCACCACTTCCTCCTTCTTGACCAATTTGTATCAACTGTCAAATCATATTTTCCTCCAATGACAGGGAAGCCCAGTCTGTCCTAGCATGCTATCAGAGATAACATGGCCAAGTTATCTCTGCATTGCATTAAAGCCACATTCCATCTCTCGCATTCCCTTCCAAAATAGTGAGAAGGAACTAATAAGAACACAAAAATACTGTACAACTGGCAGTGTTCACATTGATGCTGCGTGCTAAAATCCAGTCTTACCAGCCCGGCACAAGGAGAGCCAGTATGTAGCAACTCTGACATGCTTCTATAACATTGTAATATTTCTTTTCATTTCTTATTAAATTTGAATCCCTCACTTCTACATATGTAAGCATCGAAAGTGCTTTATTCTGCATCATTTACAATAAAATGGTTTGAAGAAAGGGCTGGAATAACTGCTTAAACATTATGCAAACGCACACACGTTTCCCAGCTGATGCTCAGACATTGTGCCATGGAGTTCTCAGGTCTGGGAATGAAACTTTGGCAGAGTTGCAAGGGCACTGAAGTGGGGATTATTTGGAGATTCCTACATGCTTGGATTTGCATCCCTGAGATTTCTAAATACATGCAATAAATAATCATGGTTTGGACTAACAAATTCATAGGAAAGGAACGGAAGACAATGTGCTAAAATGTTCAGTAAAGCTGCTTCAAAGTAGACTTGTATAACAGTGAAAATGGTTTTGCTTAAACAAGTCCTGTTTAAGAAGGTTTTGTTGTACAGTATTCTGTTTTGTTTTGTTTTGAAGAGAAAAGTAAGAACCAGAACAAAATGATGATTAGAACTTTGACTATTTTCTTATAGGAATGAATACTAATATACTGTTTAGAATCTTCTTCTCATTTGTCCATATATGCATTTTAACTTATTTACCAGTGGTCAGCCATATTGCTTACTCCACAGGATAGCTAAAAAATCTACTCATTTGGAGGTACTCGGGTTGAGGAAG